AACAGGGAGATTATCAGCAATTGGTACGACATTTAGAAATGAGGTACGGCCAAGCTCATTTGGAACATGTCATTCCCAGCTAAAAAATCGCATTCAAAAGTCAAATGAGTCTCTGCAGGAGTTTGAAGCCGACGTAGCCCGCCTCGTTCGCCTTGCGTACCCTGCTACGCCAGAGAATGTTATGGAGCGGTTGGCAGTACAGGCATTCTCCGACGACTTACGTGACAACGAGACAAGACAAGCACTTCTCCTAGCCCACCCAACGCACTTGTGGATGCTTTTAGCACGTGCTCCTAGAATTTGAGGCCGCGAAACAAAGTTCTCGGTCTCTAGTGAGAGTACGGGCGGTCAACCAATGTTCCGACGAATCCGTGGAAAGCATTGTACGGAAAGTCATGGAGGAGTACATGGGCAAGAAAGGACCGACTTGTTGCTGGAATTGCGGCCAGGCAGGACACGTAAGAAGTCACTGTTGCGACTTCAACATCGAAGCGATTTGCGGCATGTTAAGGCACATTATGAAGAAAAAGGCGAAGGACGAAAAAGACAAGATTTGTGTACAGACAAAACCAACATAGAAGAATGATAAGTCTCTAATCTCGATGAAATGCCTTCGGCGGTACCGAGATTGGCGAGCTTAGAGCACAAATGGGTTTTTAGTGGGTAGACCCTCTCGCATGAGGGATATCCCCACACTCTGGCCCTAAAGGCGTTTCCCATCTATAAAAAATGCCTCTTGCTAATGTTTTCAGAAAGTGCTTTTCCAATTCCGTATCACTTTTCAGCTTGTTATTTGTATTTTCCTGCACTACAGTTGGTGGTTCTTGTTCAGTCAGATACAGAGTGTTTACTTCATTATCTTCAGCCCTATGCGAAGGAGTAGTAATGGAGTCTTCAGTGTTTCTTATTTTCGGTGCTTCGATATTTTGCGTCTGTTCTTTTAGGTGTTGCTCGACTTCTTCCTTTATGCTTAGTCGTTCGATTGGAAGTATTCTATCATTTCTGTTTATTACTCCAATCTGATCTGCTAACCTTGTTGCATATCTGAAAGTGTTTACGTAATAAAGACCTACATCCTGTCAAATTGGTGGTTATATAATAGCAACGGAGGAGTTGTTTGTTTACATCATCATTCTATTTCATCCGTTGTCTATTTCGGCCTTTCCGGGTGATTGCGGGTTATTCGTGTCTAGGTGTAGTTTATTTGTTCTCATTTAGTTTAAAATAGAAATAGTAATGGTGTGTATTAAATAGAAATAGTAATAGTGTGCGTAAAATAGAAATAGTGTGTATTCAATTCAAGCGTTCTCAATTAGAGTTAAGCAGGGGCCTAACTCCTGTATTTGTCAGGAAGCAATCGTTCAGTGATCCGTGATGTGATACTCTAGACTTTTTGTTGTTATGATGTATTTTACATACTGCAAGAAATTTATTGGTACTCCAAACTTTTGCATAGTTGCCTAAAGTGCATCTCTGTTTACAGAGTCGAAGGATTTTGTTAGGTCGATGAATACAACATAAAGTTTACTCTGCTATATGTGAGTGCAGGCGGTCTGATATACTCACTATATTCGCATTACGAAAGTCTTGAGGTCTCCGCTTTCCCATATGATATCGAAGAGAGCCTTAAGATGACCAATAAGTTCTTTACTAGCACACTTTTGGTAATAATTTGGATTTTCATTTTTGAGATAAGTCGGTAGTCGGTACCACATTCGGCATCTATTCTAGCTTTCGTGAGTCTGGCATCTTTTACATGCGTCTTTCAAATGTATGAGGTTGTTCAATGAGTATGTGGCCCAATTGATGCAAGTGGCCGGATCTGGGATGTTTCCAGGTTCCTTTAAACTTGCCCTTCGGCATGAACCATGTATTGGTGATTCAAAGATTGTACTTTGTGCAAAAATAAGCGTTCACTATTGCTATATACGTTTCCCACTCCACGTTTTTCCAACGTCAGGCCATATTTCTTGCTGATTGCCGACACGGGCATTAAAGTCACCCAGCAAGACGATTCGTTCCTGCTTTGGAATTCGTTGGAGAGCATTTTGTAGAGCTTGGTAAAATTTATCCTTATCCTCAACTTTAGCTAGTTTAGCATATAGGGTGGGAGCGTAGGCACTCATGATGTTGACATAAATTGTGACTACTATGGGGTACCTTAGGGTCATAAGACGTTCGGAGACACCTATGGGTACTTCTGTTAAACTGATTGCGATTTCTTTTTTGACTGCAATGCCTACGCCATAAATTCTACTGTGTGTTGCAGGGCGACCTTTCCAATAGAAGGTGTAATACTCCTCAGGCTAAGAACCTGGTGGAGCGACGAGGCTAGCGGCGAGCAAGCAGCGCGACATTGCGTCCAAAACAGATGTGTGAAGACAAGTACGTGTGAACATAGTAAAGCGATCTGCTCGGGCGGTAAAATGGAGCGGTGAGATCGATTCAAATAATTTTGTTTTCGTCGCTTTGTCGTGCTGTACAAAATAATGGATTCTCAACAATTAATAGATTTAGTATTTGTAAAAGAGATTTTATGGGATCATAAAGATAGTAATCACCATAACCGGTATATTTTAGACAAGACAGATGACAAAACTATTTTCGTAAAGGTTATAAAATCAATAAGCAAATGAAAATAATAAATTGACAAGTACCTCGCTATTCATCGCCGCTCTACTATGTTTCAGCACCTCGAGGATTACTCGACGCGGTATCGCGCTGCTTGCTCGCCGCTATCCTCGTCGCTCCAGTAGGTGCTTAGCCTTAAGGATGCTTCACGCTATACCGTAACGGGTCCGAGCCGTGCGTCGGTGAAGACACGGCGAAATATTGTCAAGTGTTCTTTACACATATACATTCATGCCAGGCCGAGCACGATCCGAGCTTCGCCGGAACTCGTCCGTGCCCCGTCCCAGAAATGTCGGCGTAGTTTTATAACATTTACGAAAATGTGTTGCCACTTCATCTCATAACTTATCTAAAATGTACCGGTTATAGTGATTACTATCTTTCTGATCCCATAAAATCTCTCTTACAAATACTAAATCTATTAATTTTTGAGAATCTATCATTTTCTACAGCGCGACAGAGCGACGGAAACAAAATTATTTGAATCGATCTCGCCGCTCGATCTAACCGTTCGAGCAGATCGCTTTACTATGTTCGCATGCACGTACTTGTCTTCATAGGTTTGTTTTGGGCGCGATGTCGCGCTGCTTGCTCGCCGCTATCCTCGCCGCTCCACTATGTTTTTAGCCTAGGAATATTTAAGTAAAAATCTTGTTTTTTAATTTTCAAAGTAGAATAATTGGTTTTTTTGGACTTTTTAGACATTTAAAAACGGTAAAGAGAAAATATGTTTCTTTTATGGAGATCTATAGTCTCTCAAACGAGAAGATCCTTGACAGTGATAGATGTGTCTGTCATTTTAATTTCAAAGTAGTTTATTTTATTTTACAAAGAAATAAGTTGGTACAACTGGAACGCATAGCAGGATATATTTAAAATTTGATTGACAAGATGACAAGTGATTACTTCAAAATATTGTGAAAAAAACTGTATAAAACTGAAAAATGCATCGAGTTATTTTATTTAATAAAAACGGTATATGTTAATACAAAACAAACAAGAACAAGACACTACATACCAAAAAAATATAAAAAAGAACTATTATTTACTTTCAAGCTTTATGAAACTACCCGCATTTATGATTATATTTATCAATATAACTTATGTACAAATACAAATTTGTAATATTTCACAGGAATAAATAAAACAACATAGGTAAATAAAACAAACTATTTTATTAATAATAACACCTACCAAATTTTATACCTTAAAGGTTGATTAATTAACTTTAATCATAATTTTTTTAAACCAGTACCTTTTGACATTATTTTTCTGCAGTACTAAAATCCATTATTTACCTATCGTGTGATGTCGATATTTTACAGCTACTCCAGTTTTTAGTATGTGTTTAGTTTGATCCTTCTACCATATACGAGATGCACTTATCTACGACGAAATGGTATACAAACTTTATCGATGGCAACTTCATTGGTGTATAAGACTTTCTGCCTGGGCAGCGAGTATTAACCATAAACTGTGCTCTGGGTCTACAGTTAATTTTCACTCGATTTTTCCTCCACTTGACTTCAAAAGACACAAAACACACGTAATAATACGAATCAAAATGTTCCAAAACGCAGGGTATTTAACAAAAGTTGACACAAAATCATAACCTATAATTTGGCAAGACTTTGACAAACGTCAAAAATGACAAAAATCTAAAGGCGAGTTCATACGCATCGGCGTCCGTTTGTCGTTCATCGTTCCGTCAAACCAATAAAATTGAAATACGATCTGTCATTTTTTAAATAAACCAATAAAACTGGTTAAAAAAACAAGACACGACGCATGACGGATTTCTATTTAAACCCATCCATAGATAACTTAAAAATTATTAGAAACTTTTTGTAGTAAAATAAACAGATTGGTATGGGACGTCATCTGCTTTTCTTCTGTCATCGTCTAAAAATATTTGCACTTATTTGAGACTCATCCTGTAGATTATATTAATAAATAAAATTACTTTAAATTTATCTTTAAAATGACGATTTAATCATAATTTTTCAAAAAAAAAATAATAAGAAGCTGTTATAAGCATCACTATAGTTTAATGGCATGTAAATATGCCATTAAAACTATTGGTTTAGGATCATTTCTGGTTAAAACAGAAATGATATTCAATTGGTTTTTAATGAGAAATATGAAATTTGATTCTCTATATTTGGAAAACAAGCATTTATTCTGAAAATCAGTCAAATAACGGTTAGTGTAATGATCCCGTTATCATCCGGTATATTTATAATTTTATTTAAAATGTTTCCACGTTTCTGATAATACGTAGAAATTTGTATTAGTTAATGTAAATCTAATTTTTGTCAAATACAAAATCTCAATATTACGAGGCAAATGATAACACAAGTATCCTTTAATCAGCAGTAAGAGAAGTATTATCACTTCGAGAGGTCACTGGTTGAAAGATAAGAAGAATGTATTGAATCAATACTATTTTCTCGTAGAACAATTTTAATGTTTGTCGTTAAACGTTGGTGCTTGTGTTTTTGGTGATTGATGTAGAGGAGTTTTTTGTGCTGAAAGTTATGGATTAAATTTAAAAACATAGAAAAAATCTTCACGTAAGTTATCAAGTTTTTTTCTACTAAAAATTACACTGAATATTTATAGAAAACTGCCTTTTACGTACTAAACAATAATGTAAATTTTCCAAATATTATCTATTTTTTAAAGCACACTCCTGAGATACCATATATAAATCTTGAAAACACATTGATAAATTATATTTGTATTATAAAAGAACATAAAATAAACAATTCAACTTTAATTCTGTAATTGACCATACCTTAATAGTATTTTTTAGGTCTATGATATATAAGGATTATACAATGAGTAAATTTTATGTGTTATTGGTATCGAACAAATCTATTTGTAAGTAATTTAATAATTTTTTAATTTAGTAGTATTTGTAAGCAAACACAAACAATATATTTTAAACCATTTATTACCCTGTAATTAAATGAAAGCGGCGCGGCGAGGGAATAAACGTAGAAACAAAAAAAATGGACTTTGTTATATTTTTAATTACATATAATCTTCTTATATTTTATTTATATTTTTATGATAATCTTCGTATGCAGAATTCTAATTCTAACAGTGACAGATGTACTTAGTCATTTTAATTCAAAGGTAAATTGTTCTTTCTGATAATTCATGGATGTCTTCTGTAGAAATATCTTGTTTTGACATTGGACAGGCTACTTCCTCTAGCTAGGTATATTCTTTGGCTACTTCTAACAACCAATTTCTAAAGTTCTTAAAAGTCACATTGACACTGACAGCTGTTACCCACTTACCCGTTGAAACTAGATCTACTATATGAAAAATATAGATTTTAAAATACTTTTTTACGATTTTTATACGTTTCTTGTTTAGAAATTTCCTATAATGTAGGTTGTTCAGTTTTGTTTATTTATTTGTATGACATACAAAACATCTTAAGTTAATTTTCCAACATTCAGTTTTATACCGGGTGCGTCTCAAAAGTGGCTCACCTCTAAACCTTTTTTATTTTTTTTAGATAAAAAATCGAGATTTGGTATATTAATATATGACATAAATTAGGATTGATTGACGTATTCAATTGTTTTCTGTAATTTCCTGTTTCACCGGAAATGACTACTACTTTTGATTTGAGTTATAGGGGTGAGCCACTTTTGAGACGCATAACAACTAAGAATTTAGTTGTTAGGGTTAGGAAATAAACACGCACACATTATATTTTCTTTATTCTTCTTCTCTGTCTGAGGCCATTAACTCTCGAAAGAGTATGGGAACATGTCTCAAACGTGCAGATCTTTGTTCTGCAGACGATCCGCGCAATTGGGCAGCTTCCAAACACCGCTTCCAAATATTTTCTACTGATAACTAAATTTATACAGGGTGTCCCAGGCTGAGCGTGCATTAGAAGTTTCTAGAGAACCACAACATCTAGATCGGAGATTTTTTACACATCATTGTTTTACAACGAGATCTATCGATTATAAATATTATCAATATGGCAGCACTTCCGGAAATATGGGAGTTAACAATAACTCTCTTATTTTACATGGGTGCCCCCATTTTTTATTACATACTTAAATTCTATGTAAAATTCTATGAATATTGATGTTAATGACTTTATACCTAACATTAACTGTTTTTGAGAAAAAAAAAATAAAATTTTTGGACGAAAAAAAGTACCTGTCAAAAAAATTTGTGTAGCCTAAAAGTCAAATTTAGTAATTACCACAGCCACTGTGACATAAAGAGAAAACATGTGGCTATCTTTTTCAAAAATTAAATTGTTCAAACGTCATATAATAATGACGGTAGCTGTCATGGTATTGAGCGATTAAAAAATTATCATAAATATGTTTTTTCAAATGGAAACCCACTTTTTTTATTTCACTAGTAAAAAGGTTTTCCAATTCGTTACTTTTCGAGTATACATATTCCTATACTTAAAATAAATCGTTTTTAAGTTATTTAAGATTTAGTTTGAAAACGTATATTTTTTTTTTTTTTCGTTTTATAACATATGTCAAACAGTCAGACAATTTATTTCCATCTGTCAGAAAACAAATTATTTGAATTTCCTATATGATAAATACTGCCTTCTTAAGACTTTAAAAAGTGTATCTATAAAAATATATATCTCGTTTTTTTGGCCCTTTAGTGATAATAATAGTTGATATTATTAATAATATGCCTATGATCGAAAAAACAGCGCAAAGTTGCATAACATACTGCTTTTTGAACAAAGTGTCACAATATGACATAGCCAGATGTGTTGTCTTATATCACTTGACGTTTAAAGCCATAGGCTACTGGTTAAAATCAGAAAAATATACGCTTTAAAAGTAAATCTTAAATAACTTAAAAACAATTTATTTTAGGTATAGGAACATGTGTAGTCAAAAAGTAACGAATTTAAAAGCCTTTTCACTAGTGAAATAAAAAAAAGTCGGTTTCAATTTGAATAAAATGATTTATGTTAATTTTTTAATAGCTCAATTCCATGACAGCTGCTATCATTATTATATGACATTCGGGCAATTTCATTTTTGAATGTCTTCTCTTTATGGTACAGTGGCTATGGTAATAACTAAATTTGACGTTTAGGCTATACACATATTTTTGACAAGCAGTTTTTTTCGTCCAAAAATTTTAAATATATTTTTTTATCAAAAATGTTGTTAGGTATAGAGTGTTTAATATCAAAATTCATAAAATTTTACAGAGAATTTAATTATGGGGGCACCCATTTAAAATAAGAAAGTTGCTGTCAACTTCCGGTATTTCTGGAAGTGCCGCCATATTGAAAATATTTTTAATCGATAGATCTCGTTGTGAAACAATGATGTGCAAAAAATCTCCGATCTAGATATTGTAGTTCTCTAGAAACTTCTAATGCACGCTCAGTCTGGGACACCCTGTATATCCCCTAGTATTTTTTTATAGTGCCGTTTCCTATACTATATTTTTAATAAAATTAAGATTAGTTTGACATTTTACACTAAAACTTCAAGTGATTTAACAACAAATTACCCCCTCCTCTTTAGTAACTTAGCAACTAAATAAAAATCAACCAAAAATAATTAGTTTTGCCGGCGGCAGCGCCGGGGTTATTTTGAAAAATTAAATACTAAATTGGGGAAATAATATGATCTAAAACAAAATATAAAATTCTATAGAAATATAGAAAAAAATATACAGAGTAATATTTAAGATTCTTTATATAGGCTCACTTCTGTATAAAACAAAAAAAAATAATGGGAACAGTGAATTTATAGTTAGAAATCAATATTTAAAAGTATTAATGTAGATACTAATGGAGTAGTGATATGTACAATAATTTTGCTATTACCCTGATATAGAGACTTTTCTTTAAAAATATATATTCATTTGTCTTTCAACCTTATAAATTATTAATTATAAATTAATAATATTATAAAATAAATTAATTATAAATAACTAAAATGACAATGAACCTATCTTCAAACAAGGATATCCCTCCCACCCGAGACATCTTATTAATAAATATAATCTACACGTGTTTTGACGACTGTTAATGTTAAATTAATTTGAATTCTTCAAATTTTTTAAACTCTCTAATTTTTGACATTTCATAATTATTAATAAAAATTGAAAAATAGCAAGCCAGAAACTAATTTTCCGGGAGTTGAAATGAATAGGTCATCAATATGTTAAACAACGGCAATAAACAAAGAAATCAGTAAAGCGAACTCAATTTAATATCTTATTAAGCCGTGACCTTTGGATAGGCGTTAAAGAAATATTAAAATTTATCAGAGTGTCTACAAAAACTGACGCTTACATACATTTATACGAACTCTTTTACTTATTTTTATCTGCAGAATATGCTGCCCAAATTTCCGGAATACAGTTCGGACCAGCCTGTATTATTGACAGGGTTGAATGCCGTCCAAGTAGCCAGTACGTTTTCCTGTACTTTAATTTGAGTTCTTCAGGTGTTTTTATCTTTTTTCTTATTTACTCCTTTTCTTGATATTTACTGCACATGTACAGGGTGGTCGAAATTGTTCTGTTTTAACAGAAAAAAACTATTTCCTGGCAAGATAGAGCTAAACCGACATAGATGTCATGGGCTCGATTTCTGAGACACGTTTAATGGCGTAAACCGCCTGTTGATATTTTCACTGCCAACTGAGATACGGGGTCTTTTTGAATTTAATAATTTTTAAGAACAATCCAGTGGCGTAGTCAGTTATTCTCTAGAGTTGCTCTTTTTGTCCGAACTAATAATAAATATAATATTTTAAATGGAAATCATAGTTGGCTATGAACTTAAAAAATGTTGGCGTTTAATCCTTTCCAACGATATAAAGTTATGGGTATTTATTTCTAAGAATGAGAGAAATATTAGGTTTTTTATATTTATATCAAAGGGAGCCTTAATTTTAGGTTGACCTAGTTGCTTAATTATTTTTTATCATAATTTAATATTCTATAGTATTATATATCTGCATAATTAAAGGCTTCTGAAAAGGTAAATCAACATTCTATATTAGTATTACCAATTATAATTAAAACGCCATGGTTACAACTGAACTATTAAAGGAAGAATTTAGAGAGAATTGGATTGGAACAAGGGGCCCCATATCTTAGCCTGCGAGGTCTTATTATTTAACTTCTTTCGACTTTTTATGGAGGAAATTAAAAGATCTAATATATAAAAATCATTGGGACGAGAGAAGAATTACAGAAGGCTACTAAGCAAGCTTTTGGACTTATTACACCAGTTTTATTGTGTATTTAACAAGTAGGTGCTCAGTTTGAACATCTTTAATGATTTTTTTAGACAACTACCCCTATATTCGTCACTCAAAAAATACATTTTTTTAGTTTTGTTCTTTGTTTATTGTATATATTTCAGTTGTAATTACTAATACTAATATAGAATGTTAATTTAACTTTTCAAAAGAATTTAATTATGCAGATAAATAATAATATACAATATAAAATTGTAAAAAAATAATTAGGCAAATAGGTTAACGCAAAATCAAGGCCCGCTTCGATATAAAGATAAAAAACCTTA